ACGAAAATAAAAATTTACTTCAAATTAATATTCCTACAACTTGGAATTTCTTTTTCATGAGAACAAAGCAAATGTATCTTTGCATGCAAGATGGAATCCATCTTGCAACAAAAATCAGAAATCGACTTTTATCAAGTACTGCAACATTATCTATCAATAATCATCAGATTAATATTAATGATTTGTTTTTTATAATTGACAACTATTCTAAAATTGATCATAACTTAGTGAAATCTGATGTTTTTCCTCATGATCGACAAAATTTCTCTTCTTGTGTAAAAATCACGTCGGATGATGTATTGAATTTATTGAAAGACATGAATGCTAAAGGCACTTATATCTACCTATATTTGTTGAAATTAGTTATCATTACATATATTAAAGCAGATACCGATATCTTCGTACGTTTATACTACGGTTGGATTCTTGCATTTTCATATCGGATGTGGTGGTAAATGAAAAAGAATTTTTCTATTTTTTAAAATTATTTTACTATTGATGTCTAGGTGTAGTATTCAGCTAGAAGAAACTTACTCTCCACAAGAAAAAAATAATCATTTTATTACTAAAGCTGCATGGTTATCTGTAGAAATTAATATTCATTGTTTAACATCATTAATAATATTAGTATTACAAGGAGTTTTACCATCTTCTTCTCTTCATACTCATCTATTTAGTAGTCAACCACGCGAGAGTACATTTCGTAGTGCTCGTGCTCTATCTGGTACTTTCTCTTCAATAACAAATTTCTCAGTATCTCAATTTCTAAATAAAATCGAAAAAATTTCAATACTTAATCATTTTAAATCCACCGAAGGAGATAATGTTGAATGTCCATTAAAATTTCCAATTCATCATAAGAACAAACATAAGGAGAAAATATCATCTACAATTAGTTTAAGTTCATCATCAACAACAATAAATGATATAGAAAAAATTATCATTAAAGCTTATCATGAAGCACAAAACATCATGAACTCCTTACACTTATTACAAATTCTAAAAGAAAATGATCTCAATGATATTCAAAAATTAAATTCATTTGTTTTCCACCAGCTTGATTCAAAATCTAAAGTTGATTAATGTTACTTCAACGAAATTGATCTTCAAGATAATTCAGATGATACTAATAATATTCAAAATGATACTGAAAATTCTGAAACAGATGTTCAAGTGGGAGGTTATTATTCAGATGACGATAATCCAGATGATTATCATTTTATAACATCAAAAGAAACCTTCCAAGGAATGAAAATATTTGACAAAATTGATCCAACGAAAAAGAATAATTATTTTCAAATTATGATTAATAATAAACCAAAGTATTTACATAAACAAACGGCAGCACGTCTTTTAACTAGTAGTAAAAATTGTTTATCGTCGGACAGATTAACACGAGTACAACAAACAAATAAACAGAAATAATTAGCTTCGATTTCTATTTCATTTTTTTTCGTTAATTATATATACTTGAATAAAATGAACTTAATAATAGTAGACTTATATTTGTAGATGATTTACGATAAGGCATACTTCATTTAGCAAATCATTCGAAATTTTACAGGGAGTAAATACGCTGGGATTTTATAGGGTTCTACTGGATCCTGATGGATCCTGATGGATCCAAATGAATCCTGATGGATCCTAATGGATCCTGATGGATCCTAATGGACCCGGATGGATCCTAGGATCCACCAGGATCCGCTTTTCGCCCCTTGGATTTTCATCATTGAATAGTGCATGTGTCTGAAGGTTACAAAGGCAGTGTACATGATCTCACAATTCTAAGGGAGTCAGGACTATTAGAACATGTCAACGACTCTGTACAAATTATTGCTGACAAAGGTTCTATTGGTGAAGAATGTGCGGTTACTCCAAGAAAGAAACCTTATGGACGCGAATTGGCAGAGAAAGACAAAAACTTCAATCGAAATATTAATAGTGCAAGAGCAGCTATTGAAAATATCAATCAACGTCTCAAAACCTAGGCCATCTTAGATACTGTTTGCAGAGGAGCCATTGATGATTTTCATAAGATGACCAAAATTGCACAATTTGTTTCTGCTCTATGTAATATGAATTTGAATAAATATCTTATTCGTAAATAAGCAGCATAATAAGTTGTGTTTTCTGATTAACTACTTGATAATAAAACTATACTACTGATATTTCATGTTCTTTCAAATTTCTTAGTAAGGACTAGTGTATATTAATAAATTAGATGTGAAGTATATTCTGCACAATGATTATAAGGACATACTTAATAACTCTCGTTCCTATTAACATGGATCTAAAACAGTAACAGATCATTAGCATTATATATGGGCTATAACCGGCAAAAAAAACATATTTTTCTGATACCTCGTTGAAGCTAAATAAACAAATAAATGTTGGGATATCCTGCCAACTGGCTACGTTCATTCATTATGTATAATTCACGAAATAAATATGAATCATTTGCTCAAATTAACATCTTTAAAATGTGAACTAATTAAGGGGAATAGAAAGAGCAGATAGAATTGAATAAAACGAGAGTAATTACTCTGCGATGAACAGAACGAAAAAATTGCGACGAACAGAACGCGACAAAATGTAATGCGACGAAATGATTGCGACGAAGTGAACGCGACGAAGTGTCGTGCGACGAAATGTACTAGCGCCCTCTTTCACGTAATATACGTTCACTTTTTAGACTGTTCCTTCCACTGCTTATAGTTTGTTCACGAAATAAATTAACCTTTTATTTATTATAGTTCAGACACAATCGTACATTTAGTATTAATCATAAAAAACAAGACAACGCATTTCAATACTTTTCTGTTCATCAATTGACGGTGTCGCACCTTTGTTTAGAAAAGCTGTATGGAAAGCGCATTTAGCAACATCGCTCTTGCTGTCGAACATTTTGAAGACAAACATTTCATTGGATCGCATCTCGCTAAGATAGTACCATCGATGAGCATCATGAGGACTTGGAGAGATCGTGTTAGCTGTAGACGTATTCAAAGATCCTCGGATTTCAAGTGGGTGAATATCTTTTTCAATGTCAAGTGACTGATAATCGCAAATTGCCAAGGGTTTGCATGTAATCGCATTTACACCCAATGGTCGCCAGATGTTGAGCGCTGCATATCGATTTTGTATTATTTTCTTAGCTTCTTCCTCGCCGAGTATCTGTTTTATTTTTTGTCGAACTCCAGCTCCATCAATGTCGCTATGCACAAGGAGAATAGGATTTCTGTGATGATCATTACATTGATCGGCCGCACGTGGCGTTCTTCGACTGCGGAAGACATGATGATAAACAATTACGCGCGAAGCACCCAAATGTTTTTTAATAATACTTTGAATCTCTTCATAGTGGACTTGTTGCGCTTCGCTGTTGTCTTCAAATTCATCCTGTGTAGAGCCTTCGTATTTGAGCACTTCCACGGCATTTGTGTCGAGGTCGACACTTGTCTCCTTGCCTCGCAAGTCATGGATGATCACACGAGTAGATTCTTGCCCAAAGTTTGCTGTTATGCACCCAGTCTTCGCACATGAGTACAACCAGGCAGAACAGCCATCTGTAGTGTTAATAAGATAATTGATTTCTCCAATGACATCACCACTCATTGTAATCAATTCGTACGGATAATTTTACCAGGCCACTAATAAATCTACTTAACAAAATTGTAAAGCATCGTGCTATCCTTCAAACACATTCAGGTGATATTAACAACATAAGAGAGAAAGTAAATATTAAGTGTAAGAACAAAAACGACAACGTGTTGGAAAAGAATATATGATAATGTAAATAGAGAAAAGCAGAAGCCCAGGTTGAAAAATCTGACATCAGATCGTACAGGATCTTATAAGATCTTGCAGTCTGAAAAAAATCTTACAAGAATCTGACAAAAAATCGTAGTCTCTGATTTCTTACACTAAGTCGTATTAACAGATCCTATAAAGATCTTACATGCACTTTATGTTCACCACAAACTTATAGTGCTACCCAGGTTGAAAAATCTGACATCAGATCGTACAGGATCTTATAAGATCTTGTAGTCTGAACAAAATCTTACAAGAATCTGACAAAAAATCGTAGTCTCTGATTTCTTACACTAAGTCGTATTAACAGATCCTATAAAGATCTTACATGTACTTTATGTTCACCACAAACTTATAGTGCTATTTGAGGGCCATATTAGTTTAAGAAGAATGGTGCTGTGATTAGTTCACGACGCAACAGATTCTTACAAGGATCTGTTAATACGACTTAGTGTAAGAAATCAGAGACTACGATTTTCCGTACGATTTTCGTCGGATCGTATCAGATCAAATATGATCAAACGTACGATTCTTGTAAGGTCTTATTATCTGAATGTTCGCCCTGGGTGTCACCAAATAAAAATAATCGAAAAAAAAACCATATCGTATCTTGAGAGCGACTATCAGATTCGGATAAGAAAATTTTATTGAGAGTATTAAGAGTATGGTTCATGTTCGGATTCGAAAAATTTTAATCAACCGGGTCCGGGTCTGAAAACGTACCATAAATCGAGTACTGGTCTGAAAACTTTGGATCTGATGGATTGTAATCGAAATTCACTCTCACATGGTTTTCGAATAGTTTCATAATTATTGCTTCATTATATCCATGCTTAAAAATTTCAACTAAAAATACAAATTTTCCACTATCTTGTACAAGTAATAGACATCGAAATAATCGCATAGTTAGATAATGCTGATACATCATGATCAAATGCTGTATAATAAGGTGATGGAATAAGCAATACATCATTTTTATCAGCTATAAGATAACTTAATAATGACATAGTATCAATAGGGGTGTGGGTGTGGGTAGAGGTGGGATGTGAATGTCAGTGTTTCTGAAGAAAAGACTGATACCCACACCCACCCCCACACCCCTGGTATTCGTTCTTCGATAAATTTTTAATTTAAATGGTTGCGTGAAAAAGACAGGCAATTTTCAATATCAAATGAGTATCAATCACTTCAGTTAAATGCAGAATGATAGTAGGTTTACAAAATTATATAACTCGAGCCAAGATCTCAGAAATCGAATTTGTCGCCAGGCTGTTTTATTGATAAATCGATTAGATTCAAAGGGCTGACAACTAAAACAAGAGCTATCTACCAAAATAATCGAAGTCTTTTGATAAATGGTGCTAGCATTAACGAACAGCCTACCACTTCATAGTAAAATTTGTTTATCTCATGTCTTTCGTTCATGATTTGCATCATAGCTAATAAACCAGATGTAGCACATACAATATTTCTTGTATAATGCTGATTGTCTTGTTGAGACGCTGGAATAACCACAAACAAAAATAGAATAAACATAACTATTAAATATTCTACAGAATCGATATTGAAAAATGTAGCAAATAATAAAAGAATCAAATTTAATCGAAACCATCTGGGAAGAAATGGTGGAAGTAGATAAAAAGCCACTAATTTCATACTTTGAATGATCAATAAGAATAGAAGAAATTGCCTGGAAGATATTTTTGTAACGTAATCAAAGGATGTTGGCCACAGTGTCGACTCAATGCTTTGTCCCTGATAAGGTCTCCCATCTTCTGGATCAAATGATTCAACAAATTTGTTTACTGAATGAGCTGATTTTAACCACCACAAATAACAGAATAATGGAATACCGACACTGACCAAAAATGAAAGTACTAGATACATGCTCAAGAGTGCAAATCGCCAAATAACACGATTGAAATTGATATTTTGCCGAATGAAAGCAGCAATCCCACCTAATAATGGTGTGCTTTCCAGTGAAAGTCGAAGCAATATTTGACCTGTCCATCGTTCTATCGAATCAGCTAAGGTACAGATTGACTGACACAGAAAGATAACCGTTATGATAAACGGCAGTTCGTTAATATAACAGTTCAATATACCAATTATTTTTGAGTTTAAATCGAAAAAACTGCTCATAGAATACACGATGGAAGATTTCTGAATGAAATATCCAATAGTAAACCAGAGACCTAATTTAAACATACTTTTATCGATAATGTTTGCAAAAATGCAGGTAGCCAAATAGACACTAGCTGCTGAAGAATAAATGTAGAACAACTGAGCTGACTCATTATCATTGTCAGTACCAAATCGTTTCAAATACATAACTTGACCAGACTGTGGATTAGCAACATTAACTAAATTTGCATAGGCACCTAAATAGGTGTGAATGTGTTCTTTAGGATTGTAGCCAAGTTCTATGTTTATTCGACAAGATGGATCATTTTGTAAAATATGTTTCGTCCCGGGAGAGTCAAATGTCACCGCATAGGCGTTGTAAACACAAGCAAAACTTTCAGCCAGTGCTGCTCCCAAACTATGTCCCGTGAAGGATATAACGTATGGAATTGAATCTCGGCGTGGAATATGTAATGGTTCATCATGAAATAACAATAAACGAGCCGAATCAAACGTGTCTATCGCTTGATTGGTAAATAATAAGCGTAGATCAGTAATAGGATTATTTAAAAAACTCGACGTTAAATCAGTTCCTCGAATGGATATTACACATTGATGACGTTCTGGATTAATATAAACAACAAGAGCTAAGCCATTTTTGTTCGGTAGATCATATCGTATTACATGCCAATCATCGAGAAATGGTTCAGTCGGTTGATAAACATGAGAACTCATCTCAACATATTCGTAATGTGCCACATTTGGAATTGAGTTAAATCGAATATTTTTGTTTCCACTCCGCTTATAAACTCTCAATTTATAACTGCACGTGTTATTGACGACCGTAACATAATCACCCAATTTATGACCATCTTGTAGTTTTAGCTGCAAGTCAAAATATTCATGTGAAACGAGTCGTAGTCGTTGTTGATCACAACGATATCCAGTTCGTTGTCGAATAGTTTCTTTCAATTTGTATATGAATTTATTTAAATTTGTTTTAATCTCAAACGATTTTTCTTTCGAAGAATTAACTTCGATGAACAATGTAAACATAGTGTTCGGATGGATTGTATTTGTCTTATTACCCGAAAAGAAGCAGATGTGTGATTTTGACAAGCGATTCGTAAATGATTTTTTCGACCCAGTTCGTTCATGAAAAGTGGTTTGAGACTTGACGAAATCGTTGAACTCGGTGAAGTCGACATCTGTTGTTGTATTTATCAAACCAATTAGAAGACTGATAAGCATAATAACAAAGAGAGTAAACAAACAATCTTTCATTTACCCACGCTGTCCTCAAAAAGTTGCGAGAGATATCAAAATTTCTGACAAACCAAACACTGTGTCTAGTTTTGGTTTTTTCGTCAACGCTTACATACTTATCTTTTCATTAGAATAAATGCAAGGAGTCAAACGAAGCATCTTTGCGCATTTTTATCTTTCACTAGTCGAAGTTACAACGTTGCATTTTTATTTATGGTCATTTTATTATTGTTGTTGATGCAACAATTAGAAGAAGACGAAGAANATCATCGTTATTATTATCGACAATCGTTATCGTACTTTCCGTTATAGTTTTTCGTTTTGTTCATGTTTTGATATTTATTCTATTTCAAATAAATACACAAAAATCCTAACAATATCCATATTTTACAACTGGCTGTGCTTGTTCAGAGGTTGAAATCGATTCATTGACGGGCGATTTTCATATTTTAAGAACCGATATTCTTATGGATTTTGGCTTATCAATGAATCCGAATATTGATATTGGACAAATAGAAGGTGCATTTATGCAAGGAGTAGACATGGTTACAATGGAAGAATTAATATGGGGTGATGAGAAACACAAATGGTTAGAACCTGGCTGTTTATTCACTCAAGGACCAGGAACATATAAAATACCGTCATTTAACGATGTACCAATTGATTTTCGTATTTCTTTATTTAAAAATGCACCGAATCCATTTGCTATTTTTTCATCAAAAGGTGTGGGTGAACCAGCAATAACTTTATCAACCACTGTTTTGTTTGCTATTAAAAAAGCAATTGACTCATATCGACGTGATAATGGTTTAAATGAATTCTTTGTATTGAATAGTCCAGCAACATGTGAAAAGATATGTATGGCATGTGTAGATAATTTTACAAAAGAAGCAGTCGGCGAAGAAAAATATGAACACTTTCAACCGAACGGAAGTTATTAAATCGAACATTTGAAGTTATGGTATTATAAGCACAATCGCTTTCATAGATTTCGTGAAAAATATAGTCGCACAATAATGTGATGTCTTTTCTATCTTTGAACTTCAACTCTGCAACATTGTTCTTCATTTTCCGATTAAAAAAATAAAGTAGAATTCTTTAACCTTTTGAGGACCGATTTTTTTTAATCGAGAAAAATATTTTTCAACCTTTTTATTTTATTTTAACTCAAAATCGTTACATAAAAATGTTATGATAATCAAAAAAACAATTTTTTTAATCTTTTAAACAAAATGGCAATTTTCAAGTAAAGCACTCGATGTTGGATCGAAAATCTGCTTCTTTGGTGCTACAATAAGCACATCTTCGTCTGTTTCCTTTCACAGGCAAATACATTTCATTGTCCAAATGAAGGAATTTTTGATGATGCTTGTTTAGACTTATATTCATAAGGAGGTCTTCCACGGCTTATTCGTTCACTACCGAAGTAGAGAGACTTCGCCACTGAAACCATGAAATTTAAGTATGCTAACTTATCTTGAGCTAACTGATCATAACAAATGAATGAGTTGAAAATAGATGCATTTAGAAAATAAATAAATATTCGCAGCCAGTTTCTTTTAGACTTTCAATCGAGATTGTAGCAGGATATTCTTTGACTGAGTCGGTCAACTCCATGTGAAAACTAATTGTAATCTTTTACTGCTTTCGCACAGTCAATTATAATTCGTTGACCATTTTTCAAACGATGTGAAATTGAAACAATTTCGTTGTCTTTATGATAATTTGAAGCCAAAAAACCGTGTTTGGTGTTCATTCGTATGAAGACAATGCTGTTCGATGAAATCATTGACTTGCAATCTCCTTGTTCCATTTTATTTTTCTTGGCAAATCCGACTGAATACCTGCCTATTCTGCTCTAATAGTTTCACAGACTTTTATGTTCTATAGCTTTAGCTTTTCAAATAATCTGAGAGAAGTGAAAAAGTTACCGAAATATAGATGTTTTTCTTCAAAATTATGACCAGATATACGATCGAAAACAACACGTTCGCCCAACGGTGTTGCTTTTCCACTAGTTTCCTCTTCTCCTGAATAGATTTGTTAGTTGAATAAATAACCAGTGATTGGATCACATAAACACCAAACTTTGTAACCTCTTTTTATTAGTTTTAGAGGCAAATATTGCTTGTGGCTTGATCGTCCCTTGAACTTTATCATATTTTTGTCGATTGTACCCTAACGACCAAAGTTATAATTTTTTTGGAAATTCCTGCATAAAATTTCAGTAAAATTCTGAACTTTGTAAATTGTACCCTAGTTTTTAGAATCTCGTTTTGGTTCGAATGAACTACCAGCCAAATGTAAATAGTAAAAAATTTGAAGAAAACGATCTCGTGACATGATCGAAGAGATAAATGTATTATGGAATACCATATCTTTACTCCAATAAAGTTTCATATTTGGCAAGTTATTGACAACCATTAGAATAATCTACCCGAGAAACGATTCAATATCTTTTTTGCTCACATCCTGCCAGTTATTGGTTTTCTTCTGATTGTTACTTCGTTTCTTCCTTTTCCATAAATCTTTGTTTGATCAGTAATCAGACATAAAATTTCTTCAGTAAAAAAGGTTCTAAAAACTGAGACTGGAGTACGTTTTTTGAGAGAGATTGAAGTAAAGCCACTATCCGTGATATAACTTTCTTTCATTGAATTCAGCTCCTCTGCACATAGATCCAAATCTTCATCAGAAAGTTCAAGCTCATCTAAGTTATCGACTAGTTCATCATAATCGAAATCGAAGTCACTCTCGCTGGTATCATCACTGGCATATGAGTCACAGACTCATCATCGACTTCATTATTTCCATAGAATTTCATTTATTTAATTTTAATTGTAAAAACGGTATAAAGAAATAAAAAGTACAAGTTCGAAAGAGAAACGATATGCTTTGCAAATTCAAGAACAACGTAAATTCGTCAATGAGAACGGAGGTATATATATATATCCAATAGAGGATGTGGGGTGTAAGCAAAATATTTACCGACACCCACCCCTGGCCAATATGACTTTCGCCAATAGGACATTTGCCAACACACTGCAGGAATTTCGCCAATAGACTCTAGGAATTTCACCTATCTGAGAGTAGAATTAATGTTGATAAAAAAAGTGCCTATCGATTAGATTAGTCAGTATAAGCTAAGTTATGTATGTTGTAACAACATTAAGTTCTGTTACATCTGTTCTATATTAATATTGGTTCGTGACGGTTGGCGAAAGTCCACTGTACTTTCATCAATAAAGTATTGTACTTTCACTAATAAACCACTGCACTTTCGACATTGGCGAATGTCCTATTGGTGAACTTCCGGAACCACAACTAGGAACGTGCGAAATACTCTTGTTAGTTCTCTTATCTGTTTGGCATCTCATACAAATGTTTATATCTCTATCTAAAACGTATTTCTGAGTTTAGAGCTAAGTCTTTGAGATTCTGATTTAGTTTCTAGAATTTGAAATTTTTTATAGATTCAGTTCTGGAAGTGGATTTTGTTTGAATTTCTATTGCAGCTATCGTTTCGATGAGATTTTGATTTAGCAATCAGAATTTTAGCTTTTGTGTAGACTTGCAATTTGGGATTTGGAATTTTGATTTGGGTCTTATTATTAAATAATCGTACTTTTGAAGTTACGTTAGAATGAGATCAGATCCAATGCCAAATTAAAATCTAAATCTGTACCAAACCCAAACTATTTCATATCAGTTTTGAAGACTTTCGGGTGTTGGTGGGGTGTGGGTGAGTCGAGAAAAGAAGAACACTCTCCCCTATATCCCCCACTGTTATATCCATATACATGGACATCTTATTTTTATACAACAAATCATTTTCCTGATGTATTATTTAAATGTGTTTGTAAAATATACTTACGTGATGAGCATTTTTTTGAACATGATTTTTTTCTTCGAATCAAAGATCATTTCCATTTATCGAAAAATTACATTTATATAATGAGGAGTCGCAAAAGAATGATAATCAACAATGGTCAATTATACAATATTCTCATCTTACTAAACTTGATCTTGTTGAACTCATGAAAATTATGTCGAACAATTTTTAATTAATACTAAAACTTGTTTATTAAATAATGTTCATCTTCATCTCACTTATGATGCTTTACGAAAAGTAACGGACAATTTTTCAAAAGATGCAACACGAGTTAATTCTTCCAAAATCATCGAGTTATTTTTATAAAATAGATTAGAATTTACTTTTGATTTAAAAGACTATTTTCCTCATGCAAAAATATATTGATTATTGTTATTTATTATTTGAATAAAATTTCAAATAAGAACGGAAACAATATTATTTTATAATTTATAGGAAAAAGCTAGAATTATTATATTTATCAAAAAGATTATATATGAGTAAGAGAAAAGAAAAATTGATCCACAATTAGAATTAGGTCGATAACTTGAAGAGAAAATTCCAAATGATTCTGTTCCGACTGAATCAATAACAAGTCTCATGTTATTCGTCTATCTGATTCAATTTAATTGCTCCATAAGAAACAGAGCAAATTTGGTCATTCCATCAGTTTCAAAATATTCGCCTATCGTTTAAAATAAGCAAAAATCCAAGCTTTCATTTATTTTGTTCTTTCGAGCTATGAACATCGTGCAGTGATGATAATTGCAGAGGATGTCGAAGAAACGAGAAAAGAAGCAGAATTCAATTCGTTTCGAATAAGTTTAAAAAATTTTGCGCTGTCTCGGACGCTGAAAAGACAATACATGAAAGTGAATGCAAGTCTTTCCACAATAGCCGTGTATTTTGACCTTGCTTAAGAAGCTTAACTGATGAAAACAGCAACGAAAATTTGAAAGCTATACTAAAAAAACATAAAGTTTTCCAAGTGTTTTTGTTTCATCTGACATGTTTTAGGATCACTGAAAATTTTCAAAATTCGAATTATAAAAGAATTTCAGTTGCAATAATTTCGAATTAAGACAATATAACTTCGCAAAATTATGTTCATTAGTCTAGCGTAACGACGAAGACATTTCTAGTTAAAATAAAATTTTCGGTTTTCGTGTTATAACACTGTAGCTTTGGTAAACACATAAGATAAGATAAGTTATCAAAAAAAAAGATAATAGAACACAACAAAACCATACAAACCAAGTTGTTTTTTGTCTCTCACATCTTAGAGCAAGTTTTTGAAAAAATGCATCAACATAGCTCATTTATTATTATTTTGAATATTGTAACTAACATATTGTTGATTGTCATTCCAAGTCAATCAACTCCATTGGATGATTACGTTCGTGCTGAAGATCCTCATTTTGGCTGGAGCCTTATACAAATGTATGATGAACCAGATTACAAACTATATATTCTTAATTTTACATCACAAAAATGGTACGATGGTAAGTTTAATAATAGTTCAGAAACGAACCAGAAAGAAAATAACTGTATAATTAAGAAACATTTTCAAGTCGACCTATTTGGTGGCATTATCTGTGTGTTATTGTACCACATAAATTAACACGACCCAATACTGCTTTCATGCTTATTGATCAAGGAAGCAATACTGATCGGTTAGATTAATCTTTTCTAGAAAACAAAAAGATAATTTCAATTGAATAGATTCTTATTTTCAGCATTCCACAACCACAAGATGATTTCGTCGCTTTGACATCGATGGTTGCAGTTGGTACGGGAAGTATTGCCGTTGATCTTCAAGATATCCCAAATGCACCAATTCGTTTTCCAGTAGACTTCTTTGATAGACAGATTTGAGAAATTTATTATTCTAAACTGTTTAATGATAGGCTGATCCAACAAATCGAAGTCGTCATGAGGATTCGTTGATTGCTTGGACTTGGAAAACATTCATTGATAATTCATCAAATCTTTATGCTCCTATAAATATACCAATGACAAAAGTATTCAATCATTTTCTATTGAAAAATATGTCTGCATAACTTATTCGAA